CCGCACACTAGCGTCAAACGCCTGAGCCTCCAGGCGTGGTGGTGAACGCCTGTAAATGACAGTATTTGGGGGAGGGGCTGCGTCCGGAGCTCCAGGACAGCCTGAGAAATGAGGCGAGATCCTTGTGAACAAGAAGAAGCAGGGTGGGGAGTCTGTGTCTATTTTGTATACACGTGGTTCAGGTTCATTTGTGTGTGGAGGCCAGAGTACAACCTCATGTGTCCTCAGGTGACGTCACCTCTTCTTGAGACAGTGCCCCTAGTCTGGGACTTGCCGAGTTCGCTAGGCTGGCTGGCTGAGCCCTGGGAATTCTCCTGTTTCTACACCCTCAGCATCCTCCAGCAGGCCTGGCTTTCTCCCATGAGTTCTGGGATCAAACTCAGGTCCTCACCCTTGCAAGCACTTTATTGACTGAGTCATCTCCAGTCCCGGATCTGTGTTCCTATGAAAGACACGCATAGCTTGGACATTTCTCCCAGCATAATAGTACAGGGCCCCAAACAGCCTTCTACTACAAGATCTAGATAAGGATGAGTTGTGATGCCTATGGTGATTTTGTTCCTAAATACCACGCCCCATACTTGGGGCTCTTTGGTTTGATTCCTGTTTGAGAAAGGGTATCTCTGTGCAGCCCAGAGTAGTCTCTGAACTCACTTATCTTAGGCTCAAATGTGTAGCAATTCCCCTGCCTCTCGAATGCTAAGATTACAGACGCAATGGTGCCACCATAGCCACCGCTCTGAAATAACCTGTAAGCCCCAGAGCCTCTGGCCCGCAACTGAGTTGATGCAAGACCATCTGATATCACAGATGGGGCTTGCCTGGGTTCTCTTCCCACATTAGGGGGACACCCTGAAGGCCTGGGCTCCTGATTAATAGCCCTCATTGTCTGTTTACATTAGAAGTCAAGACTGAGGGTCTCAGCTCTGCCATACAGAGCGCCACGGGAAGGGTCTTTGAGTGCCATGTGTGTTTTTCTGTTTTTCCTGCCATGTGCCCAGAACATAGAACCACACAAGAAAGGCAGAAGTGTTGACAACATTGAACCAGTGTGGCCCCTGATGAGGACAGACAGGGAGGGGAAGGTCCTTGTTTCCCAAAAGGCTGTCCCAGGAACGAGCTAAACAGTCCTGAGAATGCTTTTTGAAAGACAGATTGTGACGTAGCTCGAAAGACATTAGTGGCTGCTTTTTTCCAGAAAACAAAAGAGAACGAGAGAAAGTTGCGTGTGGAAGGGAGGCGTGGCCACCCCGCCACGCCCGCCCTGTGCGAGAGGCTTTCCTCTGCTTTCCCGCCTTCTCCCTCAGCATCCGGTCCAGCTCACTCCTCTTCCATTGGTGATGAAAATGCCGCTGCCAACCCGGAACCACAAAATAAAAGATGACTGTGTCTTTCATTCTGGAAAACTCTCTGCCCCGCCCCCCATGGGCTTTCTGGGTTAACTGTCCACATGGCAGGGGGAAGTCTAACGGCACACGGCGAGGCGACCTTGGCAAACCTGGCCTTCCTTCTCCAGCTTCTACTCAAAACAAGGACTGTAAGGTCACATCCCCCAGTCACCTGCCATTTTCCATTTTTTTTTTTTGTTCCTATCCTGTCCCCTGAAAGATCTCTGAGAGATACCCACCCACGGATATTAAAGTGCTCCCTCTTCATAAATTAGACGGTGTCACCCCAATTTTGAGAGGGGGTTTCCTTCCTGGTGGTCAGCCTGATTTTTTGTTTGTTTGTTTTGTTTTGTCCTGTTCACACAATGTCCTTCTCTGTGGTCAGCCTGTTGTTTTTTTGTTTTGTTTTGTCCTGTTCACACAACGGCACGTTGCAGCCCATTCCTGCCGCGGTTTGGATGGTAAGTGTCCCCACAGGTTCATGTGCTTGCACACATGTGGTCCCCAGGTGGTAGCGCTGTTCCCTTTGGAGGTGGAGCCTCCCTGGAGGAAGTGAGTCACTGTGGGGCAGGCCTTGAGTTTTATAGCCAGGTCACATTTCCTGTCTGCTCTCCGCTTCCTGTGGACACAAGGTGACCCTCAGCCTCGAACTCACGAACTTACTCGTGTTGCGGTGCCTTCGCCGCCGTGGTGGGCTGTGTCCACTCAAGCTGAGAGCCAGAATAAACCTGTTTCTGAGTCACTCCTACACCATAATCGGTCACCTCTACGACACATTTAAAAGGAGAAGAGAGTCGGGAATGTCACCTCTCACCCAAGGCTAAGGCCAAGGCCGGGCTCTCTAAGCAGAACTCTGGCTTTGCGGACTTGATGGGTCCGCTGTGAGTGAACCAGCCCCTTGCACACCTTGAGACTCACTCATCAAGAGCTACACAGTCTGTACCAGGCCCTCCATAGGAAAACGGATCAGAGACGGGAAGGACGGGCAAGGGCAGCCACTGCCCTCCTAGGACCAGCATGAGACCAACACGACATGCAGCAAACAGGAGGACTGCTGTCGGAGACAAAAACTCAGCAATGCGAGAACAGGGATTAGGGAGGGCTCCTGTGGTAGGGACAGCGTCCTGAGGAAAAAGGAAAATAAGTGTTGTTCGAGCTGGAGCCCTCCACACAGTTTGCAGTCCATACTCAGTAACCGCCACCGCCTGCAGAGTCAGGGATCCTTAGCCCGACTTTATAAGTAAATAAGGAAACTGGAGCTCAGAGAACGAAATCATTTAGCCGAAATCACAGAGCTAGTAAACAAAGGTTCCCCATAAACAGATCTCTGCCATAAACAAGTAGGAAAAAAAAATGAAACTTGTGGCCCAGGGTTCCAGAGGCCTAGGGAGTAGAGGGGCAGTAAGACGTCAGCTTAGCAGGCACAAGGTCCTGGGTTTGATCCACAGCAAAACACACACACACACACACACACACACACACACACACACACACACACACACACCCTGAAAAAAAAATACCCAACCTACTCTGCAAGACCGTGTGTGAGTTTTGTGTCTAAGTGTTTTGCCTGTATGGATGTGGTATGTACCATACGTGTGTCCTCCGCAACCACAGAGGCCAGAAGAGGGCGTCAGACCGCCTGGATCTGGAGCTACAGAGGGTTGTGAGCCACCACGTGGTTGGTTCTGGGAACTGAACTCAGGGCCCCTGTGGGCAGCAGCCAGTGCCCTTCACCACGGAGCCTTCTCTCCAGCCCTGACCTAGGGAGCCCATGAAGCAGGAACTCCCATTGTCCCCTCCCTCCACAGCTGGGGTGCTAGATGCTGAAAGCAGGGGCCAGACTGGGGAGCAGCAGGGCAGGGAAGAGCCTTTCCTGGCCGGCCGATGGGCATCTTTATTCCCTTGGCCCAGGCAGGCTTGCCGCGTGGGTTCTGGCGCTGACTAACGACCTGGATCCCATGCACTCACGGAGAAGCTGCAGCTTTCCCATGCCGAGAGCACCAGGCCCATCCTGTGTTAGCTCCCGTGAGGCATTCCTGGAAGAAACCGACCTGGATGCGCAGGGCCAGGAACTAAGGCTTATGCAAAGCACAATGGGACACCACGGGCTTGGGGTTGTGAGTCACGAACATGAGTGCAAGCCGCTACAGCTGCAGTTGCCGGCCCTCTCCCTAGCTCCAAGGGTTCTGGAACCATCTTCCAGGAAGATGCACAGCCACCAGCAGCAGGCTTAATCTCAGCGTTTACCCCACAAGTGGTCTCATGAAATGGTACGTGAGCAAGCAATTGTGTTGGGCTCCACGTTCGCTTTGTGTGTGTGTGTGTGTGTGTGTGTGTGTGTGTGTGTGATGGTCCCACAATCACCAGCAGCAGTATTTTTTAGATTTCTGTTTTCCCATGATCACCCGGTTCCAAACGGAAAGACTTGCAGGTAAAAATAGCATGGCCCTGGTGTCTGATACAAAGTCCTGTTTTGTTTTGGGTTTTAGTTATCAATTTCCACTTTTCTTGCAACCAAACAAGCCCAAATGTCCACAGTTGTTAGCCGAACTGTCGCCACACTGAAATGACTCCTGCGTACTGGAGTGGACAAAGGTGAGTTTTCTTGATGCTCATGGAGACCCCCGAGACTTGGACTAAGCACGCCACAAACGAGTTTGTAGCTTGTTAACCCTGACAGTAGCCCCATTTGACGGGGAGGAAGCCAAGGTGCCCAGGGGAGAGTGGAGCAGAGCTCAGAGCAAGAAGGGACCACACAAAGCCTCCGAAAGGCCACAGACGGAGAGCGCCACTGTTCATTAAAATTACACCAGTCGTGTGGAGACAAGCCTGTGCGCTCGGGCTGCAAGTCCAGGTTGAGATGGTCTTACAGCAAGTTCCAGGCCAGCCAAGAGAAATCAACCCGTCAGTCATTCAGCCGGTGGATCAAAATAACTTCGCCCTGACTTCTGTGCCTGTTTTTACTTACTGTTCTTTTGTTTTTCCTCTCCTGCCTCCCACCTGACTTAAACAACAGCTTTTCACGATTATCCTCTGTGAAGCAATGGCTACAGTGTCCCAGGAAAGACATCTGCAAGTTTTACCGCTGAGAGCAAGAGGGGACAAGCGACGCAAAACTTCCAACAAGACTCAGGACGAAAAGGAGCCAGCGGAGGTTACAGCGCTGGCCTCAAGTCCTGGGTTCGACCCCTGGCCTGGGAAGATAAAGGGATTGTTTCCCCCACCCCCACCCAAGCCCACTGCTCGCCTTACTACCGAGGCGGTGACGAAGTCACTGCTTCTTCCAGAGAGGAGCAAACCCGAGGTACGGGTTGCAGGACACGCAGACGCCGGGCGGGCGCGCGGGGGGGTGGGGGTGGGAGTGGGGGTGGGTGGGAACCGTGCGCACAGCTCACCCTCTTCCGGGCGCGGCCGGGACGCGACCCCACACCCGGGTCTCAGTCCCCCAGGCGCTGCGCCTGCGCTGGGACTGCGGGGACCCACCGCCTGGAATCGCTGCCACCAGAGGAGACCCTGGCGTGGACGTGCAGGTGCCCCCAGCACGGGGCGGGGGTCCTGGCTCGCCATCGGGGACCCCCGGCGGGGTGGGCTTCTCCGCAAGCCACTCACCTGGAGCCTCAGCCCTGGCTGCCGCCATCGCGCGCCCCGCAGCCGCGCGACTCCCCAAGCGATCCGGGCGCACCCGCAGCGGGGCGCGGGCTCGGCCACCGCAGCCCCCGGCAGCCCGGGGCGGGACCAGGCACGGGCACAGGCGGAGCCTCAGACGACAGCCCGAGCCAACAGGCTGCAGCCGGCACGCCCCGGGAGGAGTGGAGCGGCTTGCAAGGGGTGGGCAGGGGAGACCCCTGCGTGGTGCAAGAAAGACGCGCCCGCGGGCCCGGCCCTCTCCTGGCTCTAGGCAAGCGCCTGGCTGTGGGCGTTCGGGCTTGGGTGTCAACAGCTGCCTCGGCGACTCCTGCAACGGTTAGGGACACAAGTCACCAAGGCTCCTTGGAGCTCCAGACCCCGCTCCATCCTAGGGCGGTAACCCCGAAACTCACGGACTGGCTCCAGCCAGGTGGCTTCCTTGGGTGCCGTTCCCCCAGGAAAAGCGACAGCAGTGGAAACTCCAAGGTTTGGCTCGAGCCCCCTGGATCTGCAAGGACTCACTCGCAGGCTCTTCTAGTTGGGTCCAGAGGACAGAAGGTGGGGCCCTAGGTGGGGCCCTTCTTAGGCTCACTGTGTGCGAGCCGGCTCCCAAGCTTCTGTGGCCCAGCGCACACAGAGACACCACCTCATCAAAACCCCAAATGCTGTTTTTTTATTACCTCTGTCACCTCTGTCACCCAGCCACTCCCTCAGCCACCGCTGTAGCTGAATGAACATCCTTTCATTCATCTGTTTGCTCAGTGGGGGAGAGGCTCGAGCGTGAAAACTGTAGAATGGGAGGAAATCTTTACTGACCAAACATCTGACAGGATCAGTATTTACATACATAAAGAATCCAGAAGACTAAACGCCAAGAAGTTTTTTTAAAAAGCAAACAAACAAAACCACCTCATGAAGAGGCTACGGAGATGGCTCCCTGGTTAAGAGCACTTGCGACTCTTGTGCAGACTCGGGTGCGGTTCCCAGCACCCACAGGGAGGTTTACAGCCAGAACTCCAGGTACAGGGAGATCCATCACCCTCTTCTGACCCCCACAGGTGCACATAACTGCATGCAGGCAAAACACGCAAACACATAAAGATAAATCTTTTTTTTTTAAAGCCCAATCAATAAGTGGGCTAATGAAATGAACAGTCAGTTTTCAAAAGAATGAGGTACAAATGGCCAGGGAAAATGAAAAAAAAAAGTGTTCAGAAATGCAAATTTAAACTTTGCTGAGATTCCGGTGCGGTTGGAACAGAAAACACCCAGAAAACAAATGACGACCGTTACCCAGTAGGATGTGGACCTAAGGGCCCTCAGGAGACTTCTGGTGGGGACCTAGCCGTTCTGGCCACTATGGAACTTGGCCTAGAGATGCCTTAAAGCTAAAATGGAGCATCCAGACGACCCAGCTACCGCCAAGTGAACACACCACAGAAACACACCCAAGGTAAGCTTGGCAACCGGCCTGTGTCTGTCGACAGATGAATGGGTAAGCGTGGCCTCTGGGCACAGTGGAACTCCTCAACCCGAATGAACAAAAGCATGTCGTTTGCAGGAAAACAGACCCAAGTGGAGATAATCGTGCTGAATAAATTAAGACAAGCTTAACTGGGGAAAATATCGTGGATCCTACATTTCACGGCATGCGTGCGCAGACGGTAAAACTCTGCGAGGACAAAGGGAACTTATTGGCCGAGGTGAGACCAGAGAATGTGATCAAAGTAATTTGTATACTGGGATGGCAATGTCCTTAGGAAACCCAGTACCACGTGCAGTGAATACACTCCTTCTTTTATTTATTCGTATTTTGATAAGGCCTTTCATAGATAACAGGTCAGGTCTCCTCAAGAGTTCACACCCTGCATGGCTGCAGCCGAGCTTGCCCGTGAATCAGCACAGGCCTACTTCCTGGAGACGATGATTCATTTCACCCGGGAGCCTGAAAACAAAGAATGCAGCCACTCCCCCCAAGAAAGCAGGAAGCTGTGGGCCCAGGCAAGGCCAGGTTCCTTGGGGTGACTGCTTTCGTCTGCCTGGTGCCCCAACCCCACCGATCAGGGTTACATCCTACTCGTGATTCTCTATGCTTGGAAGCTTTACTTTCTTTCTAGAATGAGGTTGTTTTGTTTTGTTTTTAGAAAGAATAGCTGGGGCTGGAGAGATGGCTCAGAGGTTAAGAGCACTGGCTGCTCCTCCAGAGGTTCTGAGTTCAACTCCCAGCAACCACATGGTGGCTCACAACCATCCGTATTGAGATCTGGTGCCCTCTTCTGGTTATAAGCATACATGCAGGCAAAATACTGTATACATAATAAATAAATAAATCTTAAAAATAAAAAAAGAATAGCTGGGGTACGAACCTGTAATCCTAGCACTTGGGAGGTAAGGTCTGAATGAGTGGTGGTCAAGCTCACCCTCGGCTATGGGTCCATTTGGAGGTCAAATCAATCCACAGAAGGAGCGGGGGGGGGCCGCAGGGGATAGGGAGGGCCGGGGATGAGGTTTGATCTTCTGAACCCCATAAAGCCCTAATGACAGCACACACATACAATCCCAGTGCTGGAGAGTTGAAAAGCTGGGTGATCGGCAGCTCGGGGTCACCCTCGGCTGCATGGTGAGTTCAGGGCTAGCCAGGGCTGCGTGAGATCCTGTCTTGAAGACGGAAAGGTACTTTCTCGTTTCTAGCCAGTAGACTCCCTTAACTTTCCTCCTTAGGGGATTTTTGAGGAAACAGACTGGAAACCCAATTTACAGAATCCCGGCTGGTTCTTTCTGGTCAACACTGGTTGGTCCCTCGCTCAGAGCCCAAGAGTGGCCTTGTGTGGCAGGAACCCTTGCTCACCTCTAGTGGGCAGTAATTTCACTTCACTACTGAAGAGCTTGTAGACCTGCTTCCAAGGCAGAGCCAGTATCCATTTGCCCACCTGGGAAGGAGTCCGTCCACTTTACAGCCGTGACTGGGGCCTTTCCCAACAGCTGCGGTCAGGCAACAGCATAGTTAATTAAACCTAAGATACTTTTCCAAGTTTCATAAAAATGACAAATAACCAATTTTGAGCTTTTTTTTTTTTTTTTTTTTTTTTGGTTTTTCAAGACAGGGTTTCTCTGTATTGTTCTGGAGGCTGTCCTCGCTCTGTAGACCAGGCTCACCTCAAACTCACAGAGATCTGCCTGCCTCTGCCTCCAGAGTGCTGGGATTAAAGGTGTGCGTCACCAATGCTCAGCCAATTTTGAGCTCTTAAGAGAGTGAAGAGAAATGACTATACTGCTAATACCTAAAGTGACCTTTCCCTTCCAGTGGCGGCTCTGGAAGGAATCCTGGGGACGCCTGGGCTTGCGCAGTGGGTTACGAGAACAGTGTGGAGAAGCAATTCCCCAGTGCGTCTCGATTGACAGACCCACTATGGGCTTCTGGGATAAAATAATGGGCTTGGGTTTGACCTAATGCGGGGAGGTGTGGCTTAGAGGACACTGGGAGCAAAGTGTGTTCACGGCAGACAGAAACGGAGGGATGCAGAGGGACTGGAGGTAAGGCCCCTTTAAAAGATGTATTTAGGGAGTCCTACGGGTAGTGTAAACCCTGAACTGCTTGCTAACCTAAACAACTTTGGCAAAGCTTCATTCTGTCTTTCAGTGTTTTGGAGTTGCTTTTATAAAAAGCCAAAAAATTTTGAAACTGGGCGTGGTCACAAAGTAGAGCCATCTAGAGCCTTACCCTGTGCCAGGCTCAGAGGTGCTTAGGTCTTCACCTGCTGCACACAGCCGATCACATGACACAGTTGTTCTCACAAGGACCACCAAGGAGCATGCCACACACTCTGCAGAGTTTACCAGCCGCCTTTCTAGAGAGCTCAGTAGCCCCAAATCCAATGAGGAGGAGAGGCTGGTCTCAGTTCCACCCACAGGTTCTGGTCTTAGGAGACACACTACCGAGTTCTTTCCAGTGAGCCCCTGTCGCTGAGAGCCCTGCACCAGGATGTAGTGCTTCGTTAAAAATCGAAATTTCCTACATTTAGGTGGTGGGTGGAGGACGGGGAGACTATTTCTTGAAGGAAGAGAACAATGGAGTCCTGAGAAAAGCTGTGGTCGGGTATAGACGGGACAAGAATGAGACAGTCTGGCTGGTGGCCCAGCTCAGTGGCTAACAGCCCCTCTGGCTCTTCCTGAGGACAGAGGTTGGGTTCCCAGCTCCCACCCTGGGCAGTTCATAACCACCTGTGCACTTCCGAAGCCCTCCTCTGGTTTCTGAGGACACTGCACTGCCTCCTACAAACCCAAACATGGAAATTTAAAGTTTTTCTTTTAAAAGAATGAGGAAGTCATCTAAAAGGACTGTGTGTGTGTGAGAGAGAGACAGACAGACAGACAAAAGAGAAAGACAGAGGAGGAGGGAGGGAGAGACAGAGAGGAGAGAGAGAGAGAGAGAGAGAGAGAGAGAGAGAGAGAGAGAGAGAGAGAGAGAGAGAGAGAGAGAGAGAGGATGTGTGCACTCAAATTAATACTAAATTAATACTTTTCTGGGGTTTGGACACTCTGAAATCAGCCATGGTGTTCTGGTTCCTCCTGAAGCAGAACTGTCCCAGTTCCACTCGAGATAATACTTGACCAGCAAAACCAAATACAGTCAAAGATGGGCCTGAAGCAGTCTCCCTCTCCTGTCCTTTTGCCCTAGGGAAGGGACTTAGCCGGCATCTTTGACCACAGAAGAAGGAGGGTGTTCAATGGAAAGGTTAGTGAACACCCTCCTCCCTAATGCAGACCCGGCACCTGAGCAGTTGGAGCACACACCCCGGCTGGGTTGAGGGACTGAGCGTGGAACTCTGTATTTCTTCATAACCATTTTAGAGGGAACGAGCCTCGCAGAACGCGGCTGGGAACACAGAAGCACAGAGGAAACGACAGTCTTGGGTACGCCCCCGAGCACCAGGGACCTGGGATCTGAGCAGCCCAGCACAGAGGTTCTCGGTGCTCCAGTCTTACAGACAGGCCAGGACCTGCTTGCCGCTCACTGGCCGTGACAGATGAAAGTGTGGTGCCTCGAACTGAAGCCCGGTGTTGTAGCTTTCTCTTCCCATCTCCCTCCTCCTCCCAGACAGACAGCGTCTCACCGTGTAACCAGACCAGGCTCGCAGATGTCTATAGCACATTTGTTTAACTAGAAGAACCCTAATTTGGTCTCGGGTACCCACGGATGTGTGATGAGGCCCACCCCGTACTAGAACATGAATCCTAAGTCAACCGCTGGGCCGGGTACCAGCTAATTAGCAGGCAGTTGACACGATGACAGCCAGGTAACACATGAGGGCGTTTTCCGGCAAAGAATTTCTTTTTTTAATTTTAATTTCATTTGCATTGATATTTTGCATGCATGTGTGAGGATATCAGGCCTTGGAGTTACTGCCATGTGTGGAAAGCCATGTGGGTGCTGGGAACTGAGCCCAGGTCCTCTAGAAAAGCGGTCAGCGCTCTTAACAGTTGAGTCTTCCCCTCCCCCCCACTCCCCGCAAAGAATTTTTATTATGTCTAATTATGTGCATACCTCCCTGCAGATGCTAGCCACCCGACCCCCTGGAGTTTACAGGTGACTGTGAGCCACCTGGCACAGGGACCAAGTTCAGGTCCTTTGTGAGAGCAGTACTCACTCTTGACTGCTCAGCCATTTTTTTCAGCACCCCCAGGTTCTCTTAAAAACTTGAGCCTTGACGTTTGTGCGAGGGCTGAGTAAGTCTGAGCCACGTAGCTCCCTCTGACCAAGGACAAAGCAACACGGATGACAATAGAGGAAGCCCCCCCCCCCTCCCCGCAGTTTCTGTTTCTGCTGCCCTGGAAGAGATCTTGCGACCTCTTTGCGTGGTATCGGGTCCTTTCCTTACTGTGAAACTACTCACCTGCCCTCATTCCCCTCCCCAAGTGACAACTCGGCTGGGTGTGGTACCCACATATCCCTCTAAGGTTCTAGAAGCACGGGGGGGGAGTGATAACATGCGGATGGAGCATACTCTGGCTTCAGAAGCAGGAAGTCCAGGTGTGGAGCTTCTGGTGAGTAGTTTGTGAAACAGGGCGTCGTGTTAAGTGAAAGCGCGACGGTGAATGTAGGTCGTCTCATGGACACTTAAGAGTCTGCAAGTTTGCTCTCCTCAAATCCCAGTCCTCACAACAGCATCATCGAAACGGTGTGTGCTGGGGACCGACGGGGGAGCGCACCTGGGAGGGAGTGGTGCGAGCCGCCTGGGGCCCAGGGGATTCTGCCTGGCTTTCTGGACTCAGTGACAAGTCTGGTGGTGTGACTTCCACAGGAAGCTGAGCTGATTTTATCTCTGGATTCACGGAGATTCTCGGGTTACTGAGACACCCAGGTTTTGACTCACTGGAGGGGCTGCATGTAAGGTCTACGTCTAGTAAGTCCCTAAAGTGACAACTCACAAAGGTGTATGTTTTCAGCTCTGGGTCTGTGTGGTGGCATCTTGCCTTGCCAGTGAACTTGTAGTAGTGGACACACCCTTTGGGCGTGGTTTCAGGTACAGATGTGACCCTTCTAAGGTAGAGGAGCTGTGGGTAAGTGCTCTCTTGGGTCTCAGAGAGCGCTGCCGGAAGGGCAGAGGCTGCATCTTCTGGAGCAGGAAGGCTGTGGAGATCATTTACTCTTGTCTGTGTAAGTCCTTCCCCAGTAGAACACTTATCTTTTATCTTGGATCTGGTGAGCTCATTTAAACCCACCTTCAGATCTGAACAATTTTAAACCCAGACTTGCTCAACTGTTTTGACTGTTTAAATGTACCACAACTCGAGCTCCATGCTTGAACCTTTTCATGATATGATCTGCAGGTGTAACGGCTATTTGGTAATTTCAGTCACAAATTAGTATGTAAGTTTTGGATAACACCAATCTGCGAATGACAAGAAAGCAAAACAAAATTTAAAAAATAAAAAGGAAAGAAAGAAATCCCACCAGTAGAACCTTCAGAGACATGGATTTTATTCTCGCTGCCCAACAGTCTTCAAAACGCAGGACTCTGAAAGCTCGATGGTTCTGGACAACTGCTAAACTGCTGAATTATATTGCTTTTAAAAAATAACTACAATGCACTTTTATTTATTAATTCCTTTTAAAGCATTACCTGTTCATATTTTGTAATAAAAACCTAAAATATTTCTAGTAGTCCCAAGTGTCTTATATTTATTAAGTGTCGGCTTCATAAGATTTTTCAGAAATAAGTGCACTTCTACAGAGAAAATGAATTTGAAATAAAATGAGAAGTAATTGTTATCATAGCAAAACAGTTGCTTTAGAATTTTCCGAGTTTTAACAATTCAAAGAGAAAACATATCAGGTAGCCAGGGACTCCTTTCTGACCCTCAAGTAACTTACTTGTAGACCACCAAAAGACAGGTAGCCATTACTCCTGACAGCACAGACTTTCTCAGGTCTTCTACATCTAAACACCAAAATATGCTTCAAGATACTTAAAAATGTTCAGCTTGCACCAAGATACACATGTGCCTTAAGGCTATGCTGTTACAGGAATAAATGAGCCCTATCTTAAGCCTTAGCAGCCAAAGAATATTTTTAATATCCCACAGCTGGCATTGTCACTAAACAAACAGCTGATCGGTTACCTACGGCTAAGTGGTCACTACTTCTGGACAGCCTAGATTTCACACACCTGTAGACTTCGCTGTTAATAACTGCTTTAACACAAGGTTTTAATGAAAAAGTAAAAGTCTGTATTAAAACAGGAAACCAAGTAATTTGTATTATACACACTTTCCATACCCTTAGAAAAACCCAAGTCACCTAGCTTATAGTAAAACTTTGATTCAAAATAGAGACTAGAGAAAATGTCACTATGCCCAGTGATCAGATAGGCTTTTGTCACTTAAATTGCATGGTTCCCCTGAGATATGGGGGAAATATAATGGAAAAAGTCAGTCTCAGGGAATCTTTGCAAACCATTTGCTTAATTTGCACCATGACTCCTATTTTTAGCTTCCAAGGGGCAGGCACAGTCTAGTTACCTTTAGACAGAAGTTTAAGAAAGGCTTTCACATAGGCCGGGCGTTGGTGGTGCATGCCTTTAATCCCAGCACTCGGGAGGCAGAGCCAGGAGGATCTCTGTGAGTTTGAGGCCAGCCTGGTCCTCAGAGCGAGTTCCAGGACAGCTTCCAAAGCTACACAGAGAAACCCTGTCTCGAAAAACCAAAAAGAAAAAAAAAGGAAGGAAGAAAGGAAGGAAAGAAAGGAAGGAAGGAAGGAAGAAAGAAAGAAAGAAAGAAAGAAAGAAAGAAAGAAAGAAAGAAAGAAAGAAAGAAAGGCTTTCCCGAGAAAGCCTTACTTCTCAACCACAACTTAGGAAACACAACCTCTTCAGAAAGTTGTTTTAGAATCAAAAGGGTGAGCAAGAAAAGATGATGTCAGCATTAGGGAAAAACCCAGGGAATTTGATGCTGACTTTTCCTGCCCAGTCTCCAGCCACACATTCCCCAGCCTGCAGACGCTTCCTTCACTCCACCGTGGGCTTTAACCACAGTGATGAGGTAACCATGAACAGGGCTGGCCTCTGTCAAATATGGAGAGCAGCGCCCCCTGGAACACGGAATTCCACTCCCCACTGTTCAGGGTCTTTGGTTCGTTGGGAAACAATGGCACTAGTGTTATCTAAGGAAACAAAGGTTACCTACCAGGGAGGACATGCACCAAAACTTTACAGAAAGCCAAAGGGACTCACACGCTTGTTCTCTGTGTGTTCATTGACACGACCAGAAGTGTGACATCTAGAAAAATAGTTTAATAAAAATACACCAGGTTCTACAAGCAGCTTTCAGGGCCATTCCCGAAACTCAACTCACCATCAATCACCCAGTTAAAATAATGCCTGTCCTCTCATTATAAAAGAAGTCCTCGTGTCACAATAAAAGTAACTGACATTTGCTCACACACAGCAGTGTGTCTCTGTGTGTGTGTAAAACAGTCACTCCTTCTCAGCGAAGTCAGCCTTGGAAGGTGCTGGAGTGAAGGTGCGACATGTCCTCACCCTGGCAGAAGCTCACCTTCCCTATCCCAGGGTCCGTGTGAGCGCCTGACAGGAAATTCTAATGCTGAAGTCGGTGTACTTCTCCTTAACTTCCTTAGGACCGTCACAGAATTTGTCTTCACGTAGAGCCTACAACGTCCAAACCAACAGGGCGAGTGTTCTAGCAGCAGCTACAGATGGCTTTTTCTTTCTTTTTTTTTTTTTTTTTTTACTGATTCAGGGCCCATGAGCTTTGCAGTGAAGCAGGGACACCAAGAGCGAGTGACCTCAGGCTGCCATGGCGGCGCTATGCAGTTGGAAGCGCAGCACTCGGGCAGAATGGAACTCAACATGCACATACGTGGTGCAGTTAGGAGGGAATGTCCATTCCTCTTGTTCCAGTACCTTTGCACAATAAAGTTAATACAAATAATAAAATATTTAAAAAAAAGAAAAGCAGAGCGATTCCTGTAGTAGTCGCAGAATCTGGCCCTGTGGAAGTTCCTCAGGCTGGTGAGTGCCAGCATCCTGGAATGTCCGGTTGCTGACACCAAGCCTCCCTGGAGCTGCAGCTACCTGAGTTCTTGGCTGTGGGTGACTGTGACCGCCATTCATAATTTCCCAGCTTTCATGTACATGGGGATGGAGCCGCGCTGCGTCAGCCCTTCAAACCTTTTATAGGTGTAATTGAGGAAAACCCAGTCTTTGGATTTGTAGTCGGGCTCTGTGGTATTTGGCACTAGAAAGAAAGAAGAGTTAACTGAGGGCGGAGGGGTCCCACGGGCTGCATGTCCGTCACCTCACAGATGACTGATAGGTGAGGTCTGCTGTGAACACGTCTTACCCGGCTGTAAGATGTCAGACTCAGGGAAGTCATCGAAGTTTGAGGTGTCGTCAATGCTCTTGATTTCTATAGGGATGGCTGCCGGCCTCTCCCTGAAAGAGGGCAAGTTTTCTTAACTCTTCACTGCCCAACAAACCATTCTCCAAAGTCCTGTCTACCACCGCATGGGACAGGAAACCCAAAGGCGCCTGCTCTGCATCTGAACACAGCTAAGCGGATGTCAAGATGGCTGAGTAATTTTTCATTAAAATGTCATCATTTACTTGGATGTTTTACATGCTTGCATGAAGACTTTCTCATGCGTTGTCCCCATCTGAGATGGACTACAGACTGAACGACCACTAGGCAAATACTCTACCTACCACTGAGATACAGACTCAACCCTTCATGCTTTTTTTTTTTTAAGTAGGTGAAAAAACAAGACCCAATAAAAGGAAAATTAGAAGAGAACAAATTTTGGGTTTTTCTGTCTGTTTGTTTTTTTTTTTAGATAGGGTCTCTCTGTGTAGCCCTGGCTGTCCTGGAACTCTCTCTCTGTAGACCAGGCTGGCCTCAAACCCACAGATCCACCTGCCTCCCAAGTGCTGGGATTAAAGGCGTGTGCCAGCGTCCGGGCCCAAAGAAGGCATTTTACAGAGATTTATAGTGACACGGAGTGTTTGGGAGACAGTGAGATCTACCTAAGTCAGTCAGAGCTACAAGGCTAGTGAGGATTAGTGAACACAGACATCTAGCTGCAAAAGAGGAGACACTCGTTTGAGTGATAAAATCCAAATGCAAAAACCTGAGTCATATAAATTAATAGAACCAGAGAGGTCAAGTTAAAAAAAAACACCTCCACAAAAAATGCCTCATTATAGTAAATACATTTAACTACAGAAATAGTTAAAAGAAACTATCACTTAAAACTTTGAAATTATACTTAAAACTTAAGTTATGCGTGCATACACACACACACACACACACACACACACACACACACACACACGGAAGTTTAGAGGTCAGAGGACAACGTTCAGCTGTTGGCTCTCTCCTCCTACCACGCAGGACTGGGGGCTTGAACTGAGATCTTCAGGCTTTTCCTGCTGAATCACCTCAACGGCCCCTTATCAGCTTTTACTTACTTTTTTTCAACAAACTTTTAAAGGATCTACTAGGTGCTAAGCCGACTACATTATGAAACAGCATGTACTGTCCGTGTCTACACAAGAATTATTCTTAACTAAGAGTAATTAAGTATGTGTCTTCCCTAGAGGTCCCACTGTGCGCCCAGGACTTTCATGAGCACATTTCATACAATTCTCATCTCACCCAGAGGAACTGTTGACATCTTGCCCATGGTGTCCTACGTAGTAGACTTTCTAGACCCAGGCATGATGAGCATGGAAGTCTAGTTAAGACTCAACCGAGTGGAAAGAGGCCCAACGTTGGCCTCTATGACCAAGGCCTCTGTCCCCAACTAGCACGTGAGCTTAGGTAGGCAGGCTCTGCTCTGTGACCCCTTTCCATAATAATCTACAGAGAAGCAGCACAGCAGATGATGTCTATGACGTCTCAGAGGAGGCAGCGCTGCCTCTTGTATTCGGTCTAGAGCAGCGGATCTCAACCTTCCTGCCGCTGTGACCCTTTAATGCAGCCCCTCACGTTGTGGTGACCCCAACTTCCTCACCACTTCAAAACGGTGATTTTGCTGCTGTCCTGAATGTGTTCTCTGACGGTCTTAGGAGACCCCTGTGAAGAGGTCGTTCAACGCCGCAAAGGGGTCATGACCCACACACAGGTTGAGAACCACCGGTCTACAAGAGTCAGAGGCACACTAACCGCCAATCCAGAAGCTCCCTCCCTCAGCCCAGCCCTCGGAACATACCTGATGTGCCCCCAGTCCACACCCTCAAAGAAGGGGTGAGCTTTGATCTCTTCCACACCACCGTTCCCAATCCTGTTTTCAGAGTCAGTACAAAACCTAGAAAGGGAAACCAATCATCAGCCCTGCCCTTCACTTACAACACTCTAACTCTGTCACCTCAGGGGTTTTTAGAAAGCACTCTAATCCAGTTACTGAGTTAACTGGGGGGAGGGGGTGCGTGTGGAGAAGATCAAATCACCCACAAGCCACACTTAGACCCCCACAGACAGTCTGCGGTCACTTAATATCACAACAGTGCCGACACGATAATGATTCGTTTAAGACTTTTTTCACTTATATGCACTAAGAAAACTTCCCAACGCTGTTCAGAGTTTTCCAGTGAGGTAGTTTTTTTTTTTTTTTTTTTTTGAGACCTGTGTATGGAGACATGGATTTGTTACATCCATCGCTGCTGCTGCAGAAGACTTACGTGAGTTCCAATTTTTCACAACTAAAATAACACAAGGAACACGCCTAACTCTTTGCTCCTACACGGTGATATGCTCTATTAAACTCCCAGAAATAAAACTGCTGGTCAAAGGTCACGGATGGTTAACAATTTTACACAATATGCTGCCAGCTGCTCACACACAAGGGTTGTCACAATTCGTATCCTGTTGTGGGATGTTTGTACACTGTGTGAAGATGCATTGCTGTGATTGGTGTAATAACACAGGTAGGCAGGGGTACAGGCGGGACTTCCAGGGAGAGAAGGGAAGAGGGGAGGATCTAAACACGCAGAAGAAGCCAGGAGACAGGGAAAGGAAACAAGAAGAGAGGTAACACCACGGGACAGAACACAGATTAATAAAAATGGGTTAGTTTAAGTTACAAGAACTAGTTAGGAACAAGCCTGAGCCACAGGCCAAGCTTTCATTAATGAGGAGTCTGTGTCATTATTTGGGAGCTGGCTGGAGGGACAGAAAGAGACTCCTTACAACTCTTCCTGCCCTCCTGCACTGCGACACCCCCTCTTCTGCTCAGGTGGCTGTGACTTTCACAGCAGGAGCTTCTGCTTCTAACACATTTACTCTCCTTTCGTTCCTGACACACTGAGTTCTTGAATCAGAAGTGACCCTTTGCGAACAGTACCAGTATGTCCAACAAGATCTCTTCTCTCTTCTGAACCCCATTTTCCCACAGACTTCTTTTTAAGCATTGGCGTGTTGTAGGGAAGGAGAAATAGGTAGTTAAAATCACTTGCCGCTCTTGCAGAGGACCTGAGTTCAATTCCCAGCACGCACACTAGGTGGCTCAGAACTGCCTATAACTCCCAGTCCTAGCCTCCACACACTTACACATAAAAATTAATAAAGCCTTTTCTTTAAAGTTTGAATTTTGTAAATTATCTTATAAAACTGACCAGATCAGTGGTATTCTCCCCCCAAACACCTGCCCAGCCTCAGAGAAACAACTCGTGTGGGCGCTGGGAAGTTTTAAGTCACTAACCTGAGAATCAAGTCCTTGGCTTTCTCAGAGACGGGCACTTCTGGAGGAAATGCCAGCGTTTCCTTCCAGCTCATAACTTTCCGGTATGTCTCCTGAGGTGTCTCAGAGCAGAAAGGTGGGAAGCCTGGGTGTCAGGGAAACAAAAATTATCAGCTTTTGTGATCAGTTCCACCAGACCTCCAAGTAGGGACCATGAGAAACAAAACAAGTCCTGTAACGACACCAGTTTATGGTATGTGTTGGTTTACTATAAAATTATAACGAAGTCCATAGGATGTAAAGCCTCACCTTGTCTCACCTGAACCCTGCACATGGAATTTGATAAAGGAAGTCATAGGGTCCCTGGGCAGTTTACTGGGTATTTATCAGTATGCATTAAACACTGAAGAATGTGGGAAATAGATTCAAAATGGCTCTGCTATTTTTGTATGTCATTGCTGTAGTGTGTTCAAACAGTGGCACCAATAGAGGTATGTATGTATCAATAGAGGTATGTATGTTATATATCAACAGAGGTGTGTATCAATAGAGGTACATATGTATCAATAGAGGTATGTATGTATCATTAGAGGCGTGTGTGTGTGTATATATCAATAGAGCTATGTATGTATGTATCAATAGAGGTACATATGTTTCAATAGAGGTATGTATGTATCATTAGAGGTGTGTATGTATCACTAGATATATGTATTTATCAATAGAGGTATGTATCAACACAGTTATGTATCAACAGAGGTATGTATCAATAGAGGTACATATGTATCAATAGAGGTATGCATGTATGTATCAATAGAGGCGTGTGTGTGTGTGTGTGTGTATATATCAATAGAGCTATGTATGTATGTATCAATAGAGGTGTGTATGTATCAATAGAGGTACGTATGTATCAATAGAGGTATGTATGTTATGTATCAACAGAGGTATGTATGTAGCAATAGAGGTTATATATCAGTAGAGGTATGTATGTAGCAATACAGGTATGTATCAATAGAGATATGTATCAGTAGAGGTATACAGGTATCAATAGAGGTATATATCAGGACTCACCTATTAGCATTTCGTACATGATCACTCCCAAGGACCACCAGTCACACAGTTTGTTGTAGCCAGTCTGCATGAAGACTTCCGGAGCAATGTAGTCTGGTGTTCCGACTGTGGAATATGCCTACAAAGGAGCAGCCTGTCAAACTGGCGTTCTGAACCTCTTAGACAGCATCCGGGTGTGGATTAGTACAGGAGGGAGCACCAGGCACAGGGCAAGCTCCCTCTGACTGGAGACCCCGGGTGTTACGTGTAAGGCTAACTGACAAGTGCTGACTCAGGCACTGCGTATAGAACACAGGATGCCAGGCTGAGGACAGGCCCTTCGCCCACTTCAAAACGGAGGAAAAGGCTGCGTCCAGCGGCCCTGACTTCTGCTCACTACTGTGTGGGCTGCTCTCTGAGCCTCACTCGGCTTCTGCTCACCAAAGATCCAGCTGACACAAGAAAGCACGCTCCGTAGGCTGCCTTCCTTAGAACTTAACTTCAGAGCCTTCCCCCTCGGCCCACATCAAATCCTATCTGATCATTCTTAGTCAGCTCTCAATGGGGGCACTATTGTAGAAACCACCGAAAACGGGACAGCAGACGCCACTACAGAGACCAGGGGACAACGACGAGACCTGCAGTGGGTGGGCTGAAGGAATCGCCTGACCCAAACACTGATGATCTCATCTCTGCTGCTCCCTCAGGAGCCAATGACCAACGATGATGACCAACAGAAACCCTCAGCCATGCTTTTATTTATTTTTGAAGATAGGGTCTCACTGTGAAGCCCAGGTTGATCTCAGAACCCAGGATGGCCCTGCCTCTCTTAACTGGTAGGTTTCAGTTGAGCACCAATGCCAGCCCACCAGACAAGCTTCTAAGTGGTATTTGTAAGGATGCAGGCATTATGCTAACCTGCCCTTGTCACCTGGTAGAATGCACTCAGGCAGTACCCTGGTCAGCCCAGGGTTCCATGATTTCATAGACCCCTTTAAAAGAGAGACCCCCAGCCCACTTATGCTCTCTTTATTGCTGTTGCCCCGGGGCAGACAGGACTTTTCCTGTCTCCCTCTTCTGTCCTCTCTCTGTCTCTTCACCTCTTTTCTCTTTCCTCCCCCCTCCCTCACCTTTCTAATAAAACCTCTCACTCAAGCTCTGGCTGGCATGTTTTTGCTCCCCACCCTGGGGTGTGCCATGGAATCCGCCAAGATTCCCCTTGAGCTTTGTCCCCTTGCCTTAAAAAATAGGAAGACTGTAGTATTTTCTCAAATGTAATATCCAAAATGACTCATTCAAAAACAAAATGAAGCTTTTTCCTTAATGATCAGCTGAACACACTTTTAAAAGTTTATTAGAATATGAAGTCTGCGGCTGCTTGGGCCAATGAGTAAATGAGCTAAAAAATGCAAAAGGTCATTTAATTGTGTTGTACACACCAGGCTGTTGTCTCCCGAGTCTCGAATTTCCCAAGGGGAATGGGTCAGAAGCTTTGTCACTGCTTACTTGAACTGAACAAATATTGACAAGGTGTGTGCATGTGCTGGGCACTGTGTAAGAACCCAGGAAGACAAAAATCAAAGCTACATTCCTGACTGCAAATGTTCACACCTCAGCTAACTATACAAATGCAATGAGGAAAGGGAGGAAGGAAATCTTACATTCACAAAAAAAAAAAAAAAAAAAAAAAGAGGGAAATAGCGTTGGTGAGAACAGCCATGAAATTCAGCATTAGGGGCTAGGTTTGCCTCCCGAAGCAACTGTACCACCACCACCGCAAGCTTCCTGTTCGCTTAGCTCACTGTAAAGACTGGCGGTTGCTGTGACAGGAGTTACAGCACCCAGGGTAGTGAGGACACTGGCTATGGGAGAGGAGACGGGAGTCAAAAGGATGGCGTGGTTAAAACAGCCAGATCAGAAACACCAGGAGGAGAAACAGCTTGCGGCTGGTTATGAGCTGGCCCAGGGGACCTGGTAAAACAGACGTGGGATCCAAAAGAAAGGCCGGTGTTGGTGGTGGCTGCAGCTCCGGGAGACCCTCTGCTTCTGGAACATACGCTGGGCTCTACCGCTCTTTTACAGTCGGCTTGCTTCTAACTCACAGATTAGGTAGAGACGGCGTCAAGAAACCCCCACCTATCTCGGGAAGGAGACCCCAGACCATCCCAACGACAGTTAACCAAGCACATCTGCAGCTCCTTTTCTGCGGCAGTGGGAACAAACAGCTTAGTGTCATCACCTGCAATGGAGGACGGAGGCTGGTCAAGTGCCCGGCAATAAAGGACAGTCACGGGCAATAACTAATGACGCTGGAGTTAGTCACAGACAGACACAGCAAGGCTTCACCCCAACTAAACGGGGGGGGGCAGCATGTGAAGAACTCATGGTCAGCTCCGGGCTGGGCCAGGGAGGAGAGACAGTGCGGTCCTCCACAGGTTCAGCCCAGAGAACTGGCCAGACCTCGGCAACCAGGGTCTGCCACAGCCCTTACAGATGCATCTCAACAGCCTTTTCCCTCAGGAGCCCCCAGCCCCACCCCCACTCTACAAAGCTTCTCTCTTTCCTTCAAGCCTCTCACTTTTCTGAAACCTCCTTCATAAATCACCCTGCTGCTCTGTTCACACCCACAAGTGTCGGAATCTTTAATCTTCACTGGCAGCAGAAAATGCACGCTGGGGTCGCTGTCCCAGTTGACCTTTGGGTCAAGCACAGCTGAGCCAAGAAGGACCCCATCCCTGCCCACCTGCCCAGTCAGAGCTGCTGCTGAGGAGTCCTCAGGGTGGGGTGCTCCAGGGGCGGAGTGTCCCGGGGCAGGGCGTCCCAGGACGGGGACAGCATCCTTCAGGACTTACCAGCTGCCTCCTGTTTTTCTTCCACGTCTCCGCTTTCCGCTTCGAGTTCATGTTCTGAAAGGCTGATTCCAACAAGACAGCACGGCCATCAGAGGGGAAACCAAACATAAACTGCACACCTACACTTAAGGCTTGGGGCAACTCGGGAAGGCGGGGGGGGGAAGGGGGCCTCGCTTCCTCACAGAACTGAAGTTTCAAGCTATAAAATTTCAACCAAAGGAAAAAAAATGCAAACTTACAGAAGTCACTCGGTGGGTTGTGCGTGAGGTTTCTGTAGAATTCAGTCCTGTGCGCTTTCTTTAACCCCGTGCACAAACCGAAATCAGATAACTTTACGTGTCCCTAAAACAACAACAAATTCCAGTGAAGTCAAGTTAACTATGAAAATAAAAACATCCTTAATATAAACTCCTCTGATGCCATGATTGTAAAAATTCTTAACTTAAAACACAGCTAAAAATGTGAGATCAGACATGTCTGAGGATGATTTTTAAAAATGGAAAACGGGGAGTTGTTTTTTTTAAGCCGTTCCCCATGATGTTATTCCAGAACAGTCACTTATGTCCGACTACGAAGAAATTTAGTCAACCCAAAAAACCACCTAAGCCACGGCTGCAGCAGCCAAGAAACCAACACGAATCGCATAAGGCCCCTCCCGTCCCTCGCATGCCTTGGCGTCCAGTAAGAGGTTGTCCGGCTTGATGTCCCGGTGGATGAAGCCCAGCTGGTGGATCGCGTCGATCGCCAGGACTGTCTCTGAGATGTAGAACTGCGTCTCCTCTTCCGCCAAGGTGTCCTTCTTCATCAGCAACGTCATCATGTCACCTGCAGAGGGCGGGGCGCCAAGGCACTGCAGCCAGGGAGGTGACTGACCTCACCTTCCCGCATCGGCCCCCAATGTCCGCTTTCTCACATCTTCCTCCAGTCTTTGGGGGTATGAGTGAAGAGTTCAGGCATTGCGCTGGCCTGCCCTGTTCCCTGGCAGGATGCACCCCAGCAGCACTCTCCAGCCCAGAGCTCTGTGAGAACCACGCAGGTGCAAAGGACCCTTCAAAGGACTGACCCCTGCCCGCTTACACTCTTTTACTTTCTCTCTTCCTCTCATCATCTCATCCTCTCGTCTCTCTCCCCTCCCCTCGTATCTTATCTCTCTCTTTCAGCTCTGCACGGGCTGGTTACCTCTCAGCCCCCTTTCCTTTCCTGCCCACCAATAAAACTCCACATGGGATCGTTGAGTCACGGTTTGTGTCCCGTTACTGGGTAAACGTAGACATTTTAACAACAGTGAGACTATGACCCAGGAGCCTCAGTGACAGGTCCATTCGTGAACCCTAGTTAAGTGTCTGGAACCCTGGCACTGTGTCATGGGCGTGTGGTAGCTGGCACATGGCCGGTTAAGGAGACCCCTCTCCAGACTTCTCCGCATGTACAGACTGCGTCAGATTTGCGGTTTTATGACTCGCCCGAGACCTCAAATGGCCCGCAAAGTGCATGCAATGGTGTCGGTGGGGAGCATGTGAAGCTATCGGGGGCAGATCAGAGTTCAGAAGCACCAAGAGTGAGCAGGTACACCTAGAAACCAGAGTTCTCTCTTTCTGGATACAGGCTCTCTTCCCTAACTCTACAGCGGGCTGCAATGAACACAAAATGGCAATGTATAAAATGTCATCCCAACAGTCCTTCAAAGTTACGTGATTTGTGGCCGAATCATCTTCCATTACTCTGGAGGCAAACCCTGAAAAAATGATGGCTATGTATAAACTCAATAAAATCCAGTAGTAAAACCGATTGACGTTATCACTGCGTACGCAGATGAACTTATTACATATGCGTATGAGCTCAGGTCTGTCTGCCACTGCTATGTACCTCCAGGAAGAAATTCCATGATCAGATAGAGATTCCGCTTGTCCTGAAAACTGTAGAACATCTTCACCACCCAGGCACCATCTGCTTCCACCAAAATGTCTCTTTCTGCTCGGATATGAGCCACCTAGATGAATATGTTTTGAAAAGAAAATCGACCCGTTCCAATTACCCATCCCTAATAGTCATGCAGGAAAGATGTAGTTTCAGAAAGTACTGAGACACAGATGCTCATAGTCTCATTAATTATGCAGAACCCAGGAAGCAGTTTATTTTATCTTATCTCCTTAAGCCTCCAGGGTGAGCAGATTTTTATGACTCTGCAGATTCTCATCTGCTGTGATAGGACCTACAGGAGGGACAGCAGGGCGCTCATGGGAGCCTGTGTCTGCTCTTCCTGTGGTCACCAAGGACAGGGAGTGTGGTACTTGGGAAGGCAGCCAAGATAAGCAACCATCAGAAACTAAAACCTACCCAACTTTTTGCCCTTGAAATAACCACAAGAATATAATGGCTTCTGTTGTTCATTGGCCCAGACTTGTTCTCTGATAGCAACTGAGCAAATGAACACAGGGAGACCGAAATCTGAACTTCACAACTGAAAGCACTAGACTATAAATTTACTATTATCTAGTAAGCTAGACTTCTTTTTATAATGTTCAGCATCAACACTGCTCTGAGCCGTCTCGAGAGGCCCCTGGCACCGCACACGTGGGGAGACACACCTGCTCTTTTTCAAGCATGTCCGCTTTCCTCAGGATCTTCATGGCATAGATGTGGCCCGTGTCTTTCTTCTGCACCAGCCGCACCTAGAGCACAGACGCAAGTGCTGGGACAGTGGGAGCAACTTCCTTCACTGAACCTTGGCATTTACCACCGTAATGTCAAAGAAATTTCATCTGTGCGCATGCACACACACCACACGCACAGACACACACAGACACACACAGACACAGACACACACACACACACACACACACACACTCTTATGAGGAGCAGGGCTCTCATGTAGCCCATGCTGCCCTTAAACTTAACTATTACGAAGCTGTGGATGACCCTGAACTTCTGACCCTCCTGCCTCCACCTCCCAAGTGCTAAGACTATAGAGGTGTGCGGTCACACCCGTTTCTACGACGCTGAGTCAAATGCATGGCTTCGGGACACTAGGCAAGCACTCTTACCAACTGACCTATGACCTCGGAGCCTACGAACTATAATTAAACACCGGACAGTGTCTTCTTTCAACAGCAGTGACTGGAACAAAGCAGCTCACCTCTCCGAAAGCTCCCCGCCCTATAACCTTCAGCGACTCAAAGTCATCCAGGCCAAGTCTGGTCCTCTTGAGCCGTAAGAACTCTGTTTCTTTGCGAGCATGCTGTGATCGGCGTAACTTTTTCTATGAAAAATAGAATTTAGAAAAGATGATTTTTTAAAGTAACCCTGTATCAAAGGCAAGTATGATGTTAAAAGATGACAGACATAAAAACAGAGACAGGCCGTGGTGGAGCACGCCTTTAATCCCAGCACTAGGAGGCAGAGGCAGGTGGATCTCTGTGAGTTCAAAGCCAGCCTGGTCTACAGAGTGAGTTCCAGGACGACCAGGGCTACACGAGAGAGCTTGTCTTAGAAAACCCAACAAAACAAAGCAACAAAAAACAAAGGCACAGCAACTGGAGAGAAGTCTCAGCGCCTAAGACGTGTGATGTTCTTGTAGGGGACACGAGCTCTGCGTCCAGCGGCATCAGGTGACTCTGGCCTCCTCAGGCATTGCACGCTCACCACAAATCCACACTCACTCACACACATATAACTTTAAATAAACGAATGCATAGAGGTACGGTATCTTAATTATTATATGCTTGTCTATAATCTACTTGCCAATGTCAACTATTTACTAAGCAAGGGAAGAATAAAACAGTATTAAGAAAACATTTTAAAAACAATTGTTAAGGCTGGGCGTTGAAGGTGCACGCCTTTAATCCCAGCACTCGGGAGGCAGAGGCAGGAGGATCTCTGTGAGTTTAAGGCCAGCCTGGTCTACAGAGCTATTTCCAGGACAGCCTCCAAAGCAATACAGAGAAACCCTGTCTCGAAAAACAAAAACAAAAACAAAAACCAATTGTTAAGTCTGTACCCTTGAGAGTAGACTTTATGGACTACATCACCTTAACAAGTTTATTACATGTGTAAGTCAATGACTTCTGAATGGTAACTTAACTAACAAAAATAAATCCTAGACAATGCAGACACCAGGATTATTCTGGGATATGTATAGATACTCAGTGAGTAGCCCAGGCTTGCCTGGAACTCAAGGCAGTCCTCCTGCCCCAGTTCCTGAGCGCTGGGGTCACAGGTGTCCATCACCAGGCTCTGCTTTCTCTGACACTTGTTTCTACGGTCAGGGAATCTGCTCCAATTTTCCACTTTCCATGGCGCTGTCACTGCCACTGAAATCTGTGACCTGCAGAAGTCACCCAGCAGCAGTGTTCCCATGGAGATTTACTTAAGAGGAAAACCGATTCCTGCATAGATTTCAGCAAAGTGCGTGAAACTTCATACAACTTTCTAAGGACGTGAAATTGCAAAATAGTAATTACAAAGTAGCACTAAAACAGCCAAGTTAGCTGGGAATGGTGGCATGCACCTTCAATCCCAGCACTCAGGAAGCAGAGGCAGGCAGGGATCTATGAGTTCCAGGTCAGCCAAGACTATATAGAGACCCTGTCTCAAAAACAAAAGAAACCAACCAGCAAAACAAAACCATCCGAGTCAATACTATCACAGTAACACTCTGATTTGGCAAAGATAACAAAATAGGAACTATTAATAATCAACATTTTGAAACACCCAAAGGCTGCATCTGGAAATCATTTTCTTGTTCTAACCTCATTGACTCCTCGTCTAATAAAAGTCAAGTTCATGACACAGTGATAGTTCCAGTAGAGGCAGCACACAGTGGGAGGAGATAAAACCATTGAAGGTATTCAGTCTCTGCTCATGTTCAAGTGATCCTATCAACCTTGAGATCAGGGACACAAGTCACAGCACTCCATCAGTTTGGACACACTGCTCCCAAAGCAGCTCAAAGCAGAGCCACTCGCCCGTCCTGCACCTGTTTGTCTGTTGTAGAGTGTTAGGTGTCTCAACTAGAAGCTAGGTCTCTAATTAAGTCTGTACATCATCAAAACAGAGTTCTAATACTTGTAGCAGAGGTAGGAGGGAAACAAGAAATGTCTTCAGTTCACACTGTTCAGCTACATTAATATTTTTATCTTCAATTTATTTTATTTAATCATAAGAATGCTTTGCTTGAATGTATGTCTGTGCACCATGTGCATGCCTGGTGTTCACAGGATGGGAGGGGGTGTCAGATCCCCTGAAACTCAGGTTACAAATGGTTGCATTGAATCTGGGTCCTCCACAAGAACATCGAGTGCTTTCAATTGCTGAGCTGTCTCTCCAGTCTGCAATTTGATTTGTGGCAGGAGCATGCGTGCCTTTGTGTATGTGTGTGTGCTTTTGTGTGTGTGTGTGTGTGTGTGTGTGTGCGCGCGTGTGTGTGTGTGTGTGTGTGTGTGTGTGTGTGTGTACACCTTTGGATAGGAACCAGGTAATAAAGGAAATGAAGATATAGCAAATACTGTTTTATATATGTTATTTAAAAAAAATAGACTGCACTTACCTTGGGGTTTGGGAAACTTTAACCCTTTAAATAGTCTCATGCAGCTAAAATCACATATTTGTGTTGTGGAATATTAGCTGAAGATGTGTTACATTTGTTTATGCTGTGGAGCATTTGTTTAATGGTGCAAAGGTGTGTTGCATTCTTTTCTGTTGCATTTGCTTAACTCTGTGAAGCTGTGTTACTTTGTCTGAAATGCCTGACTGGTCTAATAAAGAGCTGAACGGCCAATAGCTAGGCAGGAGACAAAGGACAGGTGGGGCTGCCTGGCAGAGAGAATAAATAGAAGAGCAAAGAGGAGGAGAAAAAAAAAAAAAGGAGACGGAGACAGGATCAGAGGCCACCCAGCTACACAGCCAGCCATGGAGAAAGAAGGAAAGAAAGGAATATAGAATGGAGAAGGATAAAAGCTCAGAGGCAAAAGGTAGATGGGATAATTTATGAAAAGCTGGCTAGAAACAAGCCAAGCTAAGACTGGGCGTTCAAAAGTAAGAATAAGTCTCCATGTATTTATTTGGGAGTTGGGTGGCGGGCCTCCAAAGAGCAAGGAATAAAAATAACCAACTACATTTTGGTGTAGCAACATGAAGCTAGAATTTCCATAGCACTTGAGGAAACTTAAAAAACAAATGGGCATGTCTCCTTTAAGAGTTTCTGCCTTACAGCAAACCCTTGAACAGCCAGTGCATTAAGTAAGGGGGGGGGGGGGGAAGTTAAGCAAAAGAAAGAAAGAAAGAAAGACAAAGAAACAAACAAACAGGAAAAAAACCAAAACAAAAGCAGCAACAACAACAACAAACCCGCCAGAGTCCAAGCCTCAGCGTTCCAGAGCCCTGGGGGTTGAATGCAGTTCTCAGTCCGGCACCTCTGACCAGGCCTCCAGCTTTAGGCTTGGCTTTCATGGATTCAAGAAGCGGGCAGAGCCAGCTGCTACAGCCAGCGGAGGTCACTGCTTAGCAGTTTAAAGGCTCAGGTGGGCAAAAAGGGTTAGAGATACAAAGTAAAAGGTCCAGATGGGAAAATAAAACAATCCAAACCTCCAAATAGGTTCCGGTGTGTTTAACCATGTGCATAGGCTTAAGAAAAGAAAAGAAATACTTTAAAAATAATGAAGTCTTTAAAGAGAGAAGTAATATTAAAAGGAAAAGAATAAGCCACTCAAGATGGGAAATACACAGGGAGTCTGGACCCGGCGTGTTGCGGTACTGACCTTGAATTTTTGGTGGCTGCTAAGCAAAGGACAGCTGCTCAGAGTACGGGATTGAAAGGATGCTGAAATAACCAGCCTAGATATTTTAAGAATGCCTTGACTTTAAGAGGGAACTAAAAAACGCACTGCTTTGGAGAAGAGGTTTTGCTTGTGTTTCCACAGGAAATGAGAGAGGTTCCTTCAAGGATGATCGGGGAGACATCCTGAATCTTGACAGGAGATACATATCAACAAAGGTTTCAGCTGGTCTTCCCAGGACTTGACCATTATCCCAGTTTTCTCAGGGACCCTTAAAGATGACTTCTCCCACAGACGGAAGCAGTCTAGAGAACATTCCCAAGAATGGGGTGGATGATTGTTGGGTATTTGATAGGTTGTGGATGTTTGGTATCATTTAGGGGAATGTAAGGTAAAAAGACAGCTATTAATCTCAGATATTTTGCATTGGCATGGATTTTGGCACAATGATACAAATTTAAAGTTATTTTTGTTACACTGTATACACACGTCTGCTCTTGTTTGGGGTATTGTGCTTATGTAGCTCACTTAAAAATGCAATGTATAATTAAGAAATGAGGTTGGTAGTTAATCTATAGCGATCAAACTTGCTCTGTGCATGGGGTGGCAGCTCTGAGACTTGGCTGGTTTTAAACCCCAGAACTGGAGCTCTCTTTTTAAGGACCACTTGGTGGCGCTATGGCATTGCATCCCTCATGGCAATAAAAAGTGTCTGCTTTAATGTCTAATAGCACACAATAAATGGACACAAGGCTGTGGAAGATGGTTCTGAATGTTTCCTTCTCATGGTTACAAAACAGCACAGCATCACTCAGCTACAGAAACCTGTCTCATAAGAACAGAAGAGACCTAACTGTAGTTTCCTAAAGTGTGCTTATGATCTACAGACAAGAGTCTGCCAAAAAAACTAACACTAACACCAAAAATTACAGAGACTGAGAATCTGATAGGTTCTCACATGCCTGCGGGAACACAGCCCTTCAGCAACAAAAGGGGAGCCGCAATGTGCATGACGTCATTCCGAACAGAACACCGGCCCCAGGACACCCTACTCAGTGACGTCAGCCCTTGGGTCAGCACTGCAGTCCAGTGGTAGCTGAAGCACTTCCTGTGTCTGCTTAGGTGAACAGAAACAAGATTCCTGTGCTAACCAGGACTTCCCCCTCCTCAGGAAAGACCTGTGGGCGGGCGGCTGCTTCATGGCTCTCTTCTGCAGCTTAAATCACTTATTTTGGTTTTCCCGTTAATAAACATCCATTTTTTATGACTTTTGTTAATTAGCATATATCATATCCTCCCCTGTGTTTTGAGACAATCTGAGTTTGTGGCTGGCAATTCTCTTACCAGCCCCCTACCCCAGTGCTGGGATTAAAGACTCCATTCCTTTCTGAATGGCTCAGATTCTCAATCTGCAGGGTGCCCAGGCGTCTATAAAGCAGTCACGATATTTCAAAGCTCTGAGCTATTAAAGGGTTTAGCTAACAACTTCCTGTCAGCCACTGCTGTACACAGCCACACACAGTTTAACCATCTCACGGCTCACTCATGAACCACTGTTACAGAATAAATAAGAGTATTAACTGTCACTGGACAACTACACTTGGAGGTAGCTCAGTTGGAAAAGCGCTCATCTTGCAGACACAAGGACCCAAGTTTAATCCCCACGATTTATGCAAACATGCCAGGTGTGGTGGCATACTCTTACAATCTCAGTATTGGGAAGGCGGAAACAGACCAGCTGGCCAAGCAGCCTACCCTACCTAGTGAGCTCTACCTAGTGAGCTCCAGGTCAACAGGAAATAGAGAGTACTGCCCAGGACTGACACACCAGGCTGTCCTCTGGCCTCACATGCACCCCACATCTACACACACGTATGAGAAAAGTTTAAGTTTATTTTCTTTGAAGAAACAAGAAAGCCTAACCCCTTATCATGACAGCTCTAACACCGAAGAGAATGTCGTTTTATACACAGCGTAACCAAAGTCCAAGCACTGAGCATGACAATAAACACATAGGAATTTTAAATACCTTTACAGAAAAAGCAGAATGTTTAAAAACATATATTATGAACCACCAACTTTTAGAAGCAAAATGAAGTGACATTTTCTAAGAGTGACATTTCTAAGAATTAAGAAAAATCATTAGTGCCCGCCAGGGGGCACCACGACCGCTACAAACAGGCCTTCCCAGATGCTTGTTCTCTGCCACTTGGCAATTATTTTTAAAAGCTTAGAATTTTTTATGCAAGAGTCCAGACTTCCAGATCTTGTACAACAGGAACCTGGTCACAGTGGGCTAACAGAAGGGCAACTGTTTTGTAATCTGTCATCTGACATGGCAGAGCCTGAGCTCACGGTGTCTGACAGATGGCAGGTCTTCATTAACGGAAAGTGAGAGGCACAAACATATTACCAAAAAAGCAAAACAAAGCAAAACAAAATCAAAATCCACAACTTATTTCTTCCTCCTCCTCTTCCCTCCCTCTCTTCCTTTTCCCCCCAGACAGCGCCCTGCCATAAACCGCAGGCTGTCCTTCAATGTATAGTCTCCACTGTGCTCTATCCTGGAAACCTCTCCCTAAACTTACAATTAAGATTCTGTGTTTAAGATTTCTGTACTGGCCGGGCAGTGGTGGCACACACCTTTAATCCCACCACCCGGGAGGCAGAGGCAAGCGGATCTCTGAGTTCAAAGCCAGCCTGGTCTACAGAGTAGGGTGCACAGAGCAACCCTGTCTCCAAAACCAAAACCAAACAAAAACAGATTTCTGTATCAGCACAACCATTACTAGCTATAGGAAAGTTAAAATATTGATGAGAAAAACTAAGGAAAATGTTCCCACCTTTCTCTATAGACTAGGATGCAGTCCTTAAAGTACTCCTCTAACAAGAAAAACCAGGGCTTTAAGATACTTAGTCATTACACGTAAGTAGCTTTAACCCCTCCGAGCCCCGTAAGATGTCGGCTACGCCAGGCATACAGCGAAGGAAGCCTCGGGTGCGTTAGCTCCCTTGTCTCAAGCCATCACTTGGTGGTCAGCATTTTCATTTCAAGCTCCTTTCTGACCACTGAACAGTCAGTTGGTCAGCCTAGACCATAACTCATTCTCACCCAGAAAATAAAGCTTTTTCTTTTGTTTAGTAACTGCCCTAAAGCTAGCTTTCAACTTCCCTTCTCTACTGCCCTCTATAACACAGGCTCATTATTCTGCATGCACAGTTGCTACTTCTGTCGCAATGCTAGTCTGTGAAGATTTAAATCGGTGGCTATGTTCTCCATGAAACCTTTTCTGATCCCTGTATGGGGGGGGGGGTTGTGTTTCAAAGCTGTCTGTATTCCATAATCTATACATACTTTTCCTTGTTGCGAGGGGACTGTTGGGACTCGGACCAGGGTTTTGCAAGCACTCTGCCCTGAACTATCCTAGCAGGCCCTAACGTATACAGGCTGCTGTCATGCATGCGTGAGCCCTCCAATGCACATAACAATCTCTTGTTCCAATTCATAGAGTGCCTGAAGGCAAGGAGCCCACTGTTCTCCCACTACCAAGTACTTGTCCCAGTCCCTTCGTGCTCTGGGGTGTGACACCGAGTAACACAGGGTGCAGGCTCTACTCCCTGGAAAGACCGGGTTTCCAGGCTATCCACAAGGTCAGAAACTGTCAGTGTGGAATGTAGGACAAGCAGCTGAGCGATTAGGGAGCATTTCCCCGGGGAAGTTAGACGTTGGGGAGAAGAAAGTGCTTCAAGAGGCAGAAACAGCACATGAAAAGGGCCACAGATAGACAGGAAAAGAAAAATCACAGCAATTCAGCATTGGCCAAGGCTGAATGGTGTGCCAAGAGCTAAGGCTGGAGAGAAGCAGGCCACTGGAAAGAAGTATGCACCGCATCGTATTAACTTCTCTTCTATGACACAACACCACAAGCAAAGCAGCTCATAGGAGATGTTTCCACTCACGGTTCCAGAGGGTTAGAGCCCATGATGGCGGAGCAAAGGCATGGCAGAGCAGGAAGCCAAAGGACATCTTGAACCACAAGCAGGAAGCAGACAGAGCAAACTTGAAATGCTACGTCTTAGAACTCTCAAAGCCGGCTTCCAGCAACACACTTCCTCCAGCAAGGCCACATCTCCTGAGTCTCCCCTAAAAGCACCACCCACTGGGAACCAAGCATACAGACACTGAGAAGGGGGGCAGTGCAGGGGCATGACTTTCACTGACGCCATCACAGGCAGAAAGGACACTTAGCCAGACTTGTCTTCAGAGTACAGAAAAACCGGGGGCAGGAGGAAGAGACCATTTGACATTTACCAGCAAGATGCAAGGGAGCCTAAATTAGGGAGTAAACCACTTAAAAAATATTTAGAAAAAAAATGTGAGAAGAGGGAATTGATGGGCAGGTCTAGAGACCTCCCCTGTCCAGCACACACAGAACACGATGGATGGATGGGTGGGTGGGTGAGTGAGTGGATGGATGGATGGATGGACAGATGGTATACAGAGCCCATCTCTATCCCACACACACAGAACACAATGGATGGATGGATGGGTGGGTGGGTGGATGGATGGATGGACAGACAGATGGATGGACGGTGTACAGAGCCCATCTCTATCCCACACACACAGAACACGATGGATGGATGGATGGATGGATGGATGGATGGATGGATGGATGGATGGGTGGGTGGGTGGGTGGATGGATGGATGGACGGACAGATGGATGGACGGTGTACAGAGCCCATCTCTATCCCACACACACAGAACACGATGGATGGATGGATGGATGGATGGATGGATGGGTGGGTGGGTGGGTGGGTGGATGGATGGATGGATGGATGGGTGGGTGGATGGATGGATGGACGGACAGATGGATGGATGGTGTACAGAGCCCATCTCTATCCCACACACACAGAACACGATGGATGGATGGATGGATGGATGGATGGATGGATGGATGGATGGATGGATGGATGGGTGGGTGGGTGGGTGGGTGGGTGGATGGATGGATGGACGGACAGATGGATGGACGGTGTACAGAGCCCATCTCTATCCCACACACACAGAACACGATGGATGGATGGATGGATGGATGGATGGGTGGATGGGTGGATGGATGGATGAACAGACAGGCAGATAGTGTCCAGAGCCCATCCCTGTCCTACACACACAGAACAAGATGGATGGATGTATGATGGGTAGGTGGGTGGGTGGATGGATAGATGATGGATGGATAGTGTCCAGAGCCTGTCCCTTTCCTGCACACCCAGAATGCTGTGGGTGGTGTTCAGCAAATGTGATATTCTTGGTCATCCATCTCCTTTTCAGGTACCCACACAGCAACACAGTAAGAAGCCATTCAGATGGAGAAGCCTACATAGCCAAGCCACACAATCAGCTAACACCATTTAGTATAGATGGTTCCATTACCTCCTCATCTGCCAATCCTTCTTCTTCCATGGCCACTTCTAATTTCTTCTGCCTTTTCCAAAGAAAAAATAATTAGACTTTCTAAATGTGTTCCTGTTTCCAGTTAAGAACTGCAAGTATTTATTCAAGCCAATCACTGGGCACATTAAGCTAAGAAAATCTTTCAAATTGAACCAAGATTCAACTATTCACTGTGGTCAGGAATCTTTCTTGAGATACTCAGACTTAGCATTTTTCATACTGACCAGTATGTTTATCTCCCAGTACAAAATGACGTTCCCAACTCAGGAGACACTCGATGGCAGATACATATATTCTATTAAAATTATTTGAAAACTGAAAAGTCACATACGTATAGGATAACAACCACTGATCAGAACTTTTGCTTTTCTAGACACAGACAGGTTTGCTCTCTGGGTTTTTCTTTTTTTAAACGTGAAGTTAAGCCACGTATTTCCAATGGGGCTACAGATGTTAGCGAGGACTTTGGGGCATGTTTTGCCACTGACTCTTAAGTGAACAGTATTTCATGTCCACAGTGTTGGTTTTTCTCCTGTGTATCTGGACAACTCATCCTAAATTAGCTTTGGATTATACAACAGAAGACGAGCACTCCTGAATCTACCCAAATAGGGTCAAGGATTGAGGCTCAACTGCCACAGTCTGTATCTGCTGCTCACGAGAACCCAACGAAACATAAGCTCCTCTTAAGTCAGGACCTGGTACGTCCTGCTCCACGCCTCCTCCACGCCTTCTCAACACGTGGGAGCAATGCTCTTCCTAGTCAAATGTCACGTGGGAAGGGCTCCCACTGCACTGGTCAAAGCACATGCCCATTTTGTCGTCCCCCCCCACTGCCACTGCCTGCTCTCTCATGCGGCATCTGTGAACACCAGCTCCCTCACCACACTCCAAGTTTCACTGAGGGAAAATGACAGGCCATTGCTTTTCTCTGTTCCCACTAATACAACACAGCGCCACTAATGCTGCATATTAGCCAGCAGTTTCTAAAGCCGTCTCTCCAAAGGACTGCACAGAGTCCCAGCTGGAAAGATCTGTGTGAAACACAACTCACGTGTAACGCGAGCATGTGCCCGCAAGACGCTGGAAACCCAGAAGTGAAACAGGCAGCCAGGTGTGCTGTCGGTCCAGGCAACTTAACAGAGAGGGCAGGGCTCCCCATCCGGTCACAGGCAAGCAAGCTTTCAGCCTTTTACTGTACCTGGTTTCTCTCTCTTCATGCTGTAAGATTAGGTTGCTGTAAAAATTCTCCAGCGTGAGCTTGGCCACCGTCACTCTTTCCCTGGTGTGGTTGCTCATAGGAAAGGTAGTTGCTGTCCCAGCTGTCATTGCCATAGTAATGGGAACTGAAATGACATATTAAAAGCAAGTTCTTCAGCAGTTTTTAGAAAAACCAAACGTCCTGTTTCTTTTATCAAACTCTAAAAAATGTTTAGTTTCTACTAAGAATAATTCTTAGCACTAACCACTTTTCCCCCAACAGATGCACAGGTCCCAAAGCCAGGGAAATTAGTTCTGTGAGGGAAAAACCAGGAGTTAACTACAGGAGGACGCACTGGTGGCTGTCCACACATTGACAGGCACACTAGCTCACAAAAGGCCGTGTGCAGCAGTGTTCAAAAGAAGGACGCTCCGGTCCATTTCGCTGATCTATTGACCGCTCGTCAAACTTCGTAAGATTTTTGCCAATAGTTACATTCCCAATAAATGTGTCTCTGAAGATAGAATGCGGTTTCAATGGTGTCTATCAAACATACACGCAGGCACCAGCACTCTGGCAGGTGTATGTTTTAGAGATGGGGTCACCAATGCTCTCTCCACTCCAAATTCTGTTTCTGCAACAGCACAAGATGTAGGTAGCATTCCTGCCCCCCCCCCAGACTATGAGGTACATTTCATTTTCAAATGAGGCTCACGTGCCTCTGAAAACCAGGCCGTTAACTATAAAGACACATGAATCAGTTCTGAATAGCCTATGTCTGCTCAGAGGCATCTGAGTGTCAACTTTGATGAACCACTGGTATGAAGGTCATTTTAACTCTAGGAAGGCAAGGAATTTGGTAAGACAGCCGTTCCACAGACAGACAGATTGTTCTAACGGTCACTGTGGTAGCGCTTCTGCAACATTTGCTTACCACAGGCTTTGGTGAGCCAAAAAGACAGTGCAGCTAGCTCATACATAAAGGAGTTTTGGCACCTAGAAGAGGGTCCTAACCGACCATCTGGACGAGCGTCCCAAGTTCCACTCAGCTGACCAGCACTCCCTGAACACTTTGAACCACCCACCGCGGTGAAGACATGAAGACACCGGGCTCTGCTTGCAGACCCGAGCAGAGCTGGGAGCCAGGGATAGGAAAGAAACAAGGAGCTCCTTCCTGTTCATCATCGGGCACAGACTGGAAGTGTGTGATGTACCCGTGGTGAGCTCTCATTCCCCTCGCTGCCTCATGGCCCTGAGCACACAGTGTCCTACCGTGTGAGCCTCACACTCACCGCAAAGCTATTCTGCAGACCAGCTAACTTTCCGTTAACAAGCAGCTCACCCCACCCTTGCTTAAAACTTACAGGGGTTCCGCACACGCCACGTCAAATTAGCTCACAAAGCGTAGCTGGCGGACGCCAGCGATGGGCGTCTCAGGACAACTGCGTTTCATTTGGAGGACTTAGGACAGAAGCCCTCACGGCATCCTTGGAACAGGGAGCTGGAGCTGGGGGAGCTCACACAGCAACGGGCTGAGGAGTGGAGACTCAATCCCAACTTCAGCCTCCAGGGAGCCTACAGCCCATCACATGACCTCCCTTAAACCACCCGGATGTGTGGGAACCTGCAGCTCCTCTGTGGCTTGGCCTCGTCTCTGTCTCTCACCTCCGTGAGAAGACACAGCTCACTCACTCTTTGGTAGAAGGTCTCTGAATCTGCACCTCGGGCACTGATGTGCGTCACTGACGACCACTTGCCCACTGCTCTGAACTAGGACTTCTCCGGGCACTGTCTCCTAAACTCCTTTTAGGACATTTCGCCACCACGTCACAGCTGACACACAGGGTGGACGGATGGCGATGAACGATGGACACCACCTCATGGGAGGGATGAAATCTGGGAGACAGCGGGGCTCTCTGACACCTGGAGACAGAGACGCAGCCCTGATCCATCAGGATCGTAAGGTCTGACCCCAGCCACCCTTCCCAAGCGGGGGCTGCAACCTGTGCTCTGCTGACTTCACAGGCCCGGGGCCCTGTCAGGTTAATGCTGGGAAACCCATGGAAAGTCAGGGTACCCCTCTGTAATCGCTGCACATAGCTTTATTTAGAAATAAACTGCTGCATGATATAACAGCAATTCTTTAAGAATAACAGTAATAGAGAAAGTGTCCCAAGAATTGCCACAAGATCTGTAAGGACTCCACTGCTTTGACTGAACCCTAAGCAAAAGCATTTTTTTTTAACCCCAGAATCCCAGGGCTCGTTCTGTTCCGAGATCAGACTCGGAAAAGGCGAAAGTCGGGAAAAAGAAACGGCCGTGCCACACGGTCAGTATCTCCCAAATCAAGTCTGCTGTCATGATTTGGGGGTGGGGGGAACCAAAGAATCAAAGCCTTCCAGGAAATTTAAGAAACCTAGATTACAGTTGAGGAAGACGCCTGGGGCAAAAGTCGCCAGCTCTCCTGTATCAGCCTGTGTGAGCCTTCAAGTGCAGGCAGGCAGTATCCTAGAGAGCCTCCGGAGGGCCCAGGATGATGATGACAGGAACAGCCAAATTGGCCAAACTTTCCCGTAGGAACAGGTCTGGGCCACAGGAGAAAGGAAGATGGCTAAGTAAAATCTTGGAAGACATTTTTGCATAGCACATACATGTGTAAGGGAAAATAAAACAATTTTTTTCTCTGTGACTTTGGAGGCTGTCCTGGAACTCGCTCTTGTAGACCAGGCTGGTCTCGAACTCACAGAGTTTCACCTGCCTCTGCCTCTCAAGTGTTGGGATTAAAGGCGTGCGCAGCCACCACCTGGCTTAAAACGATTCCCAAGTCCCAGAGAGTGCTGGCACTAAAAACATAGAGAGGACAAACGAGGTCCTCAGACACGCATTACTGAATCTGGATCTTTATAAAGAATAAGCAGATGAGACCTCCTTCCTCCCCAGGTGATGGAGGAACAAACTTTACTCCAAAACACAAAACTGACGTCAACGAAAAACTACTTTTAGGCACTTTATAACTGTCATTAGAACAGTCTTCCCATTCTTGTTAGGCACACCCGGAAGTCCACACGGCTTGACTGAAAACCAGGTCAGAGCAAATGCGGTTCACCGTTTCCGTAGTCAATGCCTGCAGCACTCTGAGTGCCATGCAAACAAGCATTCCAATTTAGCCAAGTTCAATCCATACATACGCCCCGTCTACAATCACTTCCCTTGGGTTCAAAGCCGCAAAACCACCTGGTGCTGCGTTTACCTTCAGAAGGGAGTTTTCCTTCTGAGGTGGGTGTGCAGTGAAGTCCAACCCCAGGCCTTGGCAAGATTAGCTTTTATAAGGAAGAGCTCTTTTTCTAACCAGACACGGGCAGTCTTTAATTTTTTTTAGTGATACAAAAATGAAGAAATGCTCAAACTTTTCAAAGAGTGATCTAGATCAGAAGTTGTTATACTGTAAACCCACACCTTTAACAAACTTAATGCTGGTCTTTGTCTTTTAAGGCTGGTCTTTGTCTTTTATGAAAGCCTTTCCTCTAGCCAGAAAAAGACAAGATACAACTTGCAAGCCTAGAATTCCTAGAAACATACACTAGTGCCCTTCAATTTTCTGTTCACTTAAACAAATGACCCCCAATTCATCATGGAGATACTATCAACAGTGAAGTTCAGCATTCTTTAGTTTAGCAGAAGCGACACACACACACACACACACACACACACACACACATGTGCGCGCGCAAATGCACGCATGCACACACACACTCGCACATCTATAAACAGAAGTGTGTCTCCATTACAGCAAAACTCAAAGGCAGAACGTAGCAGCCTTCACCTGACCCTAATTTCGCATCACTATCTCTAATGCTATTGGAATGGCTGGCAGTGTGAAGTCTCCTAATCCATCCTGTCTGTGGTCTTGATGCCTGAAGCTGCGGCACTCCCAGATGCTGGGTCCCTGATGAAGGAGCAGCCAGCCACAGCCTCTTCCCCGGTGTAGATGAGAAAGCCAGAAGTTCAGTCAGCTCAAGTTCAACACTAAGTATATATTAAAACACCAAAATATATTATGTATGTGGAGGTCATAAGCAGCCTTTTAACACTGCATCCGTAAACAAAGACCTTAAAAGGACAATAGATAAAAAGAGCATAAACTACACGTGTCCAACATCACTGTCCATCAAAGCACAGGCAGGCTACCAGATGCTCTCCGCCCTGAAGCAGCGTGCTCCCCCAGGAGTGAGCCTGCATCATGGCACAGAGCCAGCACCCTGAACCACAGTGGACCTGGGTTCTGTCCTAGGAACCGAAGGACTCTGACAAGAGCTGATGTCATGGATGAGGAGTGAGGAAAACCCTGGAGTGAGTTTCTCAGTCACATCTCAGACTTCCTTTGAGGGAAGTCTCACAGGGACCCTCAAAACTGCCTTATTACGGGGCTCGAATTACCAGTCTTTTCAAGTGCCTTCCCTGCCGACGACTCGAGGAGGACCCGAAGGCTTACACTGAAGTCACTATCGAGGCAGAACAAGCCTGCACTCGCTCCGTTCGACTGCGGTCCAGCAGGGTAAGGGAAGGGAACTTCTAACACAGAGAGAAGAGAGAGAGACACCCTCCAGATGTGAGGAGGAGCCTGCCCCCTTCACGCCCTCCGTATCCCAAAGAAGCTCTGCCCGACAGACCCGATGCAGCTACCGTGCCAAAAGGTGAGGGCCTGGTGTGAAGGACAACCCCCTGCGATTGGACACGGCACCGGAACGGGCATGCATGGCGAGAGGTGGTGTGCTGTGACATCTGGTTAGGGGAGGAGCCAGCTGGGGAAGCAGCCTGGCCAAGTGACTCAGCCAGGATACGTGTAAAGCATGGGCATCTGGGGGCACTTCCCTTTCCTAACAGTGAACTTCGGATAGGCATATACACACGCTCTATCACTCACATGCATACACGTGAACACTCTTACTCTCTCACACACACTCATATTCATGCGCACACGCACTCACATACGGGCACACAGGCATTCACACTGAGAGGGAGGGAGTGAACTTGTGTGTGAGCATTAGTCCTGTCAACTGAAAAGTCAGAGGAGACTTGACTAACTGAACAACTCTGAAATACAAATGCCCCTTTATGGAAGCAAGAAATCAGGACTAAAATTCAAGTGTTTAGCTTAAAGTCTAAGGAGCCACGAGTGACTTTTACTAATTTTGAATCATTCTAATTCTACCAAGACACTTTTTTGGCCATCCCAAGTGACCAAAGACACTGCTCCCAGCTAAAAGCAGACACACGTGACTTGTGACTGACACTGTGCTAAACACACAGACCACTCAACTTCAGCCACCCTGACAAGATCCAGAAGGGGCGTGTCCCATTAACACATCGAAAACACATTAGAGTACAAAAATCTTTAAAGTTTAAAAAAAAAATGTAAGTGCTAATGACCATCTGAGCAATTTATCACCCAGCACTAAACAGCACTGAAACAGAACCTGGATTTGTGTGTGTGTGTGTGTGTGTGTGTGTGTGTGTGTGTGTGTGTGTGTGTGTGAGTGTGTGTGAGTGAGAGAGAGAGTATGCGTGTGTAGAAAAAAGTATCTAGAATAGAATAAAAATAATCTGTAGCAACCTGTCACCAAGGACAACCTTTAATTAACCTAAGAACTCAGGAAACCCTCCATAAAGCAGTGACTGAGTTAACGTCTATCCAGAACTTCCTAGACTCTAGCACAGGCTCTGCTATGGAAAATACAGCTGAGGGCAGGGTAAGACCTTCAAAATCCAATTCTGCTTAGAGAACACTGTCACTTTCAGTGATGTAAAGACCATCTTATCTGTCACTAAGGGACAGAGCCACCCCTCCACCCCCCTGACCCTCCAGAAGTGAAGCCCACAGACACGTGGGAGAACGGTGTATGTAACCCACACGCATGGTGTGGAGGGACAGGCTATGTGGCAGCCTACAGTGAAGCTGAGAGTGCCCAGGGCAGTGGCAATCCAGGACACTGTACCGTCCTAAAGAGAAGCCAAAGCCAACACTGACATGGGGACCAGCCACGGTCTACTCTAACACAGGATCCCAATCTAGTCCTAGTTACTGACTCCTTCTTACCTTATGATGAGTGGGTCAAAAAGCCGACTTCAAAGAAGGGAAATTAACCACGGGACTTCCTGACAGCTGCACTGATGCCCACTACAGAAGAATCTTGGTTTTTTGTTTGCATATTTCTTTGACAACAATGAATTAAAGTATGTTTCTATGATTTGTAAAACAATTACTTCTTCTCCTCCTCCTCCTCCTCCTCTTCTTCTTCTTCATAGGGTCTCACTATGATCTGGCCAGCCTGGAACTCTCTGTGTAGAGCAGGCTGGCCTCTCATTCACAGAAATGTGTCTGCCTTTGTTTCCAGAGTGTTGGGACTAAAAGTGTACACCACACCAAGCCTGCCTCCCTGGTTTAAGTCTTCTGTTGCAGTTGTCTATGGGAAATCTCATTCATTCTTGAAACCAGGAGCACCTCTGGGCGCCACAGCTGAAACCGCACCACTGTGCTAACAGTTTTTTAGGTGACTCCATGTTCCCAGCATAGAAAAGCCTCACAGTATGAAGAACTTGGCTATTTCAGGAGGATGGAGATTATATTTCAGGAGACTTATATTCCTATAAATCCACAGGTTCACATCAAACAAAAGATTAAGTAAAATTAGTTGAAAACTCAGATTTGGGTACCTGGATATTAAGTTCTTTGTTCTTTTTTTTTTTTGAGTCAACATACATAAGTTATCACGTGTGTGAAGGTCAGTTCTCCCCTCCACTTTGTTGGAGGCAGTCTCTCCTTGCTGTTCCCTCTGCATATGCCAAGCTAGCCAGCGACACCTTCTGAGAGTTCTCCTGTCTCTATGTCCATTCTCACTGTAGCAGACCTAGGAGTTCAGATGTTCAAGCTACCATCTCTGGCTTTGCATGGGTACCACCAGGGGTCTGACTTCAGGTCCTCAGACTTGCATGGCAGGAGCTCCATCCAGAGTTGTCTCTCCAGCCCCTTTTGCTATTAAAAACAGGAACACATCGCAGTCTGGATAATGCATTGCTGGCCATCGTCCAAGCGCCCCCCCCCCACCGCCCTTGTCACTGCTATCCTCCTGGGGGCTGCAGGCTGTGCTCAGCACACTCAAGGCCCATCTTTTTAATGGACTCTCAATTATGTCAGAGTTTTAAAATAGACACTGCCTATGCTTAAGTTTCCAAATGCTTTACTGTCTGGGCAGGAAGCTTAGTCACCACTTTAGGGGAGAGAGGATCCTGGCACAGGCGCCCTGCCGGGGAACCGGGGGTGAAGTTCAGGACCAAGCTACCTTTAGATGGTCCCTGTGAGCCTGACAGTCTCAGGGCCCCAGAAGGAACATTGTGGGAGGTGCCGCCTCCTGAGAAAGAAGCTCCTCTTATCTGTTTGGCAGCCTGTGCTCAAAGTTCTTCTTACAGCTAACCCAATTCTCTTCCACTCAAAGGCATTTGATTTCTCATATTTTCCATAAAGTGAAAACCTTCACTGCAGCAAGTATCTTGCTCAAATGCCGGGCGGGGGAGGGAACACACACACACACACACATGACATGACAGCTGGAGTCTGCACTGGTTTTGATTCTTTTTCACTGCACAATCAGTGAGGTTTTTTTAAATAAATTTTATTTAAATTAGAAACAATCTTATTTTACATATCAAGCCCAGTTCCCGCTCCCTCCCCCCCCACTCCCAAGAGAGAGTGAGGCCTTCCATGGGGGATCATCAAAGTCTGTCAGTCATTTGGGGGAGGGCCTAGGCTGAGAGAGTATCCCTCCATGGGCTCCCAAAGTCCATTCGTGCACTAGGGTTAAATACTGGTTCCCCTGCCAGAGGCCCCATAGACTGCCAAGGCCTCCTAACTGACACCCACATTCAGGGGGCCTGGTTGGGTCTTATGTTGGTTCTCCATCTGTCAGACTGGGGTCCGTGAGCTCCCACTTGCTCAGGCCAGCTGTTTCTGTGGGTTTCCCCACATGGTCTTGAACCCTTTGTTCATCCATTCTCCCTAAGTTCTTAAACTTCCATCAGTTTTATTAAGGGAAGAACCGCTACGGTATGCAAGAAACCAATGTGTAAATGACATCAACTTTAGACATGTGCATATACCTGAAACTGCTACTTGAGAATTTTCAAGGTGCCCTCCCTGGCACTGGCAAGTCTTGTGATGAAAGCAACAGCGTCTGGGAGCTGCCGTGTCAGGCACAGAGCCTAGCGTGCAGTGTCCTTTTATCTTTGCTGTGTGCGAAGCGGGTGGCTTTCAAAGTCAGGGACGAGGAGACAGGTTGGGTTACATCCAGTTACAGAACCAATAAATGCACCAGAGCCCTGCTCTGAATGCACTCAGCCATGTGTTATTAGTGCTTTCACTTCAGTGAGCCTGCGGCGCCTGGAACCAACCGGGGGCCTTGGATATGCAAAGAAGGTGTCTTCCACTTCCACCAGCCCAGCCCAGCCTCCCTCACTGAACAGAGAGTCTGTCCTTAACACCAAGTTCTTTATAACCAATTTTATTTATCTCACTTCTTTCCATCTTAGGAAAAAGAAACAAATCCAGGCTTTCACAAACTAGTGCCTCTTGAGAATGTTAATGGAAGGGGTTGGAGAGATGGGAGTATACTAGCTGCTCTTGCAGGGGTCCTGGGTTCAGTTCCCAGCACCTATGGGGTGGCTCATAACCATCTACAACTCCAGTTCCAGGATATCTGATTCCCTCCTCTGACCTCCATGGGCACCAGGCACAGATGTCGTATTCATACATATACACACAGGAAGAAATATTCACACACATAAAATAAAATGAACAATTCTAAAAAAAATTAAAAAAAAAAAGAATGTCACAACATCCTTAAAAACTAGGTGAGGAACCCAGTATGGTGGCACATGCCTTTCATCTCAGCACTTGGGGAGCTGTAAGCTCAAGATCAGCTTGAAAGCTGGGCGTTGGCCCATGCCTTTAATCCCAGCACTTGGGAGGCAGAGGCAAGCAGATCTCTATTAGTTTGAGATCAGCCTGGTGTCTACCAAGAGAGTTCCAGGACAGTCTCCAAAACAATACAGAGAAACCCTGTTTTGAAAAAAAAAAAGATCAGCTTGCAAGTTTCAGCTCAGCCTTTAAAGACTGTCTTTAAAAAATAAGAAGGAAAAAAAGAATACATGACCTAAGACTAGATGGTGTGGACGAGCAGAACACAGCTGACTGACCTACATGTGTACCCTTCTTCACTGGTACCACAGGAAACCCAACTGTCATTTGCATGGCTGTAGGATGTATCATCTGTAAGATGTATCATCTGTAGGATGTATCATCTGTAGGATGTATCATCTGTAGGATGTATCTCTAGGATGTATCATCTGTAGGATGTATTTGTAAGATGTATCATCTGTAGGATGTATCTGTAGGATGTATCTGTAGGATGTATCTGTAGGATGTATCATTTGTGGGATGTATCTGTAGGATGTATCTGTAGGATGTATCATCTGTAGGATGTATCATCTGTAGGATGTATCATCTGTAGGATGTATCTGTAGGATGTATCATCTGTAGGATGTATCTGTAAGATGTATCATCTGTAGGATGTATCATCTGTAGGATGTATCTGTAAGATGTATCATCTGTAGGATGTATCATCTGTAGGATGTATCTGTAGGATGTATCATCTGTAAGATGTATCTGTAGAATGTATCATCTGTAGGATGTACCATCTGTAGGATGTATCTGCTTAGGAGTCCTCTCACCTCCCTGCCATCAGCTGTACCTTCCAGCAAAACGTGGAGTCTGACACCCTCAGGAGCCTTTACTTGGAGAAAATGTGGCTCACCACCCAGGCTCACCATCCAGCCCCAGTCTTACTTATCCTCAGCCCGATTCTGGTTCCTTGGCCAAGGTATTTCTGCTACTATAGACACAAGGATTGAAATGAAAGACGGTTTTCTGAAACCCCTGTCTAAACGTTACATACGAACTGACAGCATCGGTCATAGGTACAGACGGCAAAATAAGATATTTAAAAACCCACTAGCTAGTGGGAACGAGGGAGATGGTGACACCTGCCACGCCAGTAACTCAAGGAGGACTACGAGTTTGCAGTCAGCCTGGGCTGCACAGCCAGATAACAAACAAACAAGCCTTCTAGTGTTGGCCTGCCACGTGGGTTTCCAGGGCAACAGCAGTAAAACAAAGCAGGCAGGAGTGACACGGTGGTCACACCATGAAGACGGTGGGTGTGATAGGCAGCAGAAGTGTGAGGGCATGAAATAAACACACAATGTTGTTGCGTCTACAATACCGCTGTAGACTCACCCAGGTAGGCATCGGGTGCAAAAACAAATGGCCTGGGTGGGACTCTATGATAGCAGCAGGGCTTCAGAAAAGGGACAGACTCATGTCAGCTACAGTGCCAGATACAAACAGAGCAGGTAGCTCAGCTTAACCCTAACTCAATACCTGGTGGAGATGCTGGGGCTACTGGAAGGATGCTCGTAGTCACAGGACAGTGATGTAAAGGCAAGTGTCTCCCACTGGCCAGATCCGGCCCCTCTAGACCAGCTAGGGAGGCCCTTACCAGCCCGATCCTGACACAGTCCCTCGTCAAGATGAGCCCTGCATCCAGCCAGTTTCCTGACGTGATGGAAAGTTACCAGTATAGAAGACGCAGTGTGTGAGCGTGTCTATTTCTGGAAAGAAGCAGTTCTTTCCAAAAGTACTGAATCAGAAATTTTTACCAGCGCTAGATTTGGTTAAGAAAAAGGGAATAGGGTAATTTTTAGTTAAGTAAACAGGATGGACGTTCTGTCTCCTTCCAAGAAGCAAAATTTAAAGCTACGCACAGCTGGGAAATTACTCCAGAGGGACTGGGGCAGAACTTGCTTTAAAAAAAGTTATTACAAAAATATTTAATTACATGCAAATTACACAGTTGTTTTTACCTTTTTAAAATTTACTCATTTAATTGGCGTTAAAAAATGTATGTCTATTTATAGGCTGCCACATGATTCTGGACGCACGCCATATAACAGAGCAGACAATGGCCAAAGACAGGACTGCACAGGACAGCAGGGACCAGACAGGGAAGGACTGTGAATGTGAAGCCCAGAAGCCCCAGCACCACTGTGGAAGGTGACAAGGACGCCATGCTAGAGACTCCAGCCAGGAGAGGAGTGCTCCAGCTCACAGTGCAGCACGTGGATGCACGGAGGACAGAGAAAGGAAGAGGGGGGAGGCTTACTCAGCAGTTAGGAGACAGTGGGGACGGCCCAGCGGGCTGGAGGCCTGAGGCACAGGCAGCATCAGGAGAGTTCCAAGACCTCATTAAAGTGCTCCCTGGGCTTTAGAGGGAAGAAAAGAGAACACGGTGAGTTAAAGGTGTAAGGAAGAATGAATGTGCAATAATGGTAATATGCTCCTTTTCCGCAGCAGAAAAGACCTTTAAAGTGCGTATCTCAGCTACACTCCTCCGGATCTTTCAAGATAAGTAGAAATTTTCAGGAATAGCCTTAAGAGTTCCCCAAATGGGTGGCAGCTTCTAGGACAACATGCTGTACACAGTAGGTTCCTAATTAACAGGGAGTGTGTTTTGAAAGTGACAAATGTTAAACTCACAAAAGCTTGTTCTGCCTGGTCCCTGCCACACAGTACAGGTGGCAACTCCTTGCTGACTGGCAGATATTAATGACGTGATGGAGTACATATATCATGTCTGATGGCTCCATACACTTCCGTTTTTTACGGCAGAACTATACAGAACACTCTCCCTGTGCTGACGTAACAGGTGCTTATATCGCTACCCCTCAGGAAAGAAGCAATCAGACCAGATGACAAACTACATGGGCTTTTGCTTCCCCTTTTACAGTAAAACAGCGATTTTTTCCCTCAGAAATATTATTTGTGGCCAGACTTCATAGTGTGCACCTGTAATT